AGCCGAGAACTGATGGCTCTCCTAGGGAAGGTTCTCCTGGTTGCGTTCGCAGCGCCTGTAGGAACTCTGAGTGACGTGAGACACGCTTGTTGTTGTGACTTTTATTTTGACGGCGCTGAGAACGCCTGAGCCTGAACACACAGCGCTCGCATTCTCCATGTTCAGGAGTTTACAATCCGTCTAACAGTCCTGTCTGATACACTATTAGATAGAACTGTTATACTAAAGTAGACAGTGATGAAGAGTTATTAGCGTATGGCGTGTTTGATGTCCAGTGTTGCTGAGCAGAAATACATAATCATGTTTCTCTCGGTCTCCTCAAAGCCGTGTTGGATTTTCTCCTCAGCGTAAAGATTAAAGGGATACTCCACTTTTTTTGGAAATAGGCTCATTTTACAACTCCCCCAGAGTTAAACTGTTGAGTTTTACCGTTTTTGAATCCATTCAGCCGATCTCTGGTTCTGGCGGTACCACTTTTAGCATAGCTTAGCATACATCATTGAAGTGGACAAGACCATTAGCATTTCTAAAAAAAAAAATGACCAAAGAGTTTCGATATTTTTCCTATTTAAAACTTGACTCTTCTGTAGTTACATCGTGCCGTACCATGAGAGCAGCAGGCGTAATGATATGACGCAGCGCCTGAAAATAGTTCCGTTGTGTTGATGGAAGGTGGCCTATTTTCAGGCGCTGCGTCATATCATTACGCCTGCTGCTCTCATGGTACGGCAGTGAAGTTTCTTAATTATTACGCAGGAATGAGAGTATAGTTCCTAGCCATATCAGCCTAGAAAATCGCAACTTTACATTTTCCATCGGTCTTAGTGCACGATGTAACTACAGAAGAGTCAAGTTTTAAATAGGAAAAATATCGAAACTCTTTGGTCATTTTTTTTTTTAGAAATGCTAATGGTCTTGTCCACTTCAATGATGTATGCTAAGCTATGCTAAAAGTGGTACCGCCAGAACCGGAGATCGGCTGAATGGATTCAAAAACGGTAAAACTCAACAGTTTAACTCTGGGGGAGTTGTAAAATGAGCCTATTTCCAAAAAAAGTGGAGTATCCCTTTAAGAGCTTCATCTATCACTGTTTTACATGTTTCTGGAGTAAATATGTAGGCTATAATCTGTGCGTTTACACCATGGTTTTTAAATGGCGGGTGCTGGTGTTTGGCGTGCGTTCGGCCAATCAGCGAACACTAACGTCACTGTAGTTCCTATAGCGCTGGTCTAGACCGACTCTGAAGTAGGAGTAAATTAGTTCCTCCAAAAGGAGTTCCTAGAACTAAAATCGCTCCTAGTTCCTGCGGCGCGAACACGCCAAACTCCGGGAACTCCCGCCAATAGTTCTAGGAACTATGAAAAGGTTCCTCCGGTGCGAAAGCCTCTATTGATGCAAATCCACAATTTCTAATTCAAAACGAGACATGAAAAATAAATGTGTCAGACGTATCATTAAGTCCAGCCTTTAATAAACCAATAAAATCTTCAGAAATGAGATAAATGAGTTAGGATACACAACTTCCTTTACACAGAAAGGAATTAAAATAATCACAAAATAAAAGCAAGGAAAATTAAAACAGTTATAAAAGGAATTAAAAGAGATATAAAAATGAAATTTAAAAGAGTAAAACGATGATACATAGATAAACTTCTTATCTGGCAAATCACCGTATCATATTTTTCACAGCTGCTTGTTTTACTGAGAGATTTTCCCATGTTGATCGCACTGTGTCTGTGGTGTTCTTTCGGCGCGCCTAAATAACCTATCTGACGTCTCCAATAGATCCGATTTCCCCTAAAATCGGACAGGAGGAGCTCTAGGAAAGGAATCGACCCAGTCCGCACCGCACCTCGAGTTTCACATCAAACTCACTACTCCACCACAGACTCAGGTCATCAACATGGTTTCATCTCTCACTTCCCCAATGAACATTACATGAGTTAAATGATTTGGCGGTAGCTTGTGTGAAGTCTCCCATTGAGAGTGTGTTTAGCAGACTGGGACATGAGGGCACAGGGGTCACGGCGCCCAAAAAAGCCTTGAAATCAACACGACGGCCAGTTCCTGACCTTGAACTCCCAGCGATCGCTCTGTGATCATGTGTACTGTGATTTTAAACTTAACCTAAATTCAAATAAACCTTAAATTATACTTGGAATGAGATTGTTTTCACTTAGACATCCATATTGTTCTCCAGGTTTTGTTGTTGAAGTTTTATGTCTGTTCATTGACACATGTATGACACTGTGATCTTAAAAACTTCAATTATACATGAATATCAATCTATATTTTGAATGTTTTAATATATACATATATAATTATTATTAAAATTAATAAACCACATATAAATATAATGTAAAAATAATTATGAAATATGACGTTTTGACAGTTGCCATGAGATTCACCCATTTGCACTGTTGAGACACAATAATTATTGGGACGATCATAGAAAGCTGTGACACCAAATTTCACAGTGATTTATCTGTGTGCTGATTGGTTTGCCAGCTCAGTGATGTCACAAAGCCCGAACAGAAAAGGCCAATGGGAACATTCCAAAGTTATGACTGTATTTATGTCCTGCCTCTTTATCTATATCTCTGTGACCATAACTGTGTCATGCTCTGTTGTCTCCAAACACACACACACACACACACACACACACGTGAGTGACACGCATTGTCTATATTTATTTTTTAAGTCAGACAGCTGCAGTACTAACCGAACAAGAGCAGAGAGAGACAGTGAGAGAAATAGATTCAGACAGACAGCAGATGGTGGGGACACCTTCACTTTTACATTTTTGAGTCCCGAGAAGATACTGAACTATTGAGCCGAGTACCTGATCTCCAGAATCCCTGCGCCTCCTGCTCGGTTCTGATCGGATCATGGAGGGCGGTGGCGAAGCACCCATGACCTCCTTCATCATGGATGAAGAGACGCTGAAGAGGAAGCAGAGAGAGAAACTCAAGAAGCTCCAGGCCACAGGTGGAAACCCCCGGCCCGCACGATCCCTCCTCTTCCTCACGCTGAAGAACCCCTTCCGCAAGGCCTGCATCAACATTGTAGAGTGGAAGTATCCTTTAACAAATCAAAAAATGTTTTTAATTACAATAATGTTTTCGCACAGAGTCACTAAACATATCAGTTAACTTAATGCATGTTGTTAAAAGTATGTAAAAGTAATTTTCAGCATCATTACTCCAGTCTCCCGTGTGTCACATGATCATTCAAATATGATGATTTGAAACATTTCTGATTATTATCAATGTTGAAGTAAGTTGTGCTGCTGCATATTTTTATGGAAATCGTGGTACATTTTTATTTTCAGGATTCTTTGATGAATAGAAAGCATTTATTTGAAATAGAATATTTTGCAACATTATAAATGTCTTTACTGTCACTTTTGATCAATTAAATGTGTCTTTTCTCAATACCCCAAACATTTTAATGGTAGTTTATCAGTTTCAACAAAAATATTAAGCAGCAAAAATTGTTTAAAAATAAATGATATAACAAAATTACAAATGTATTTCATAGATCAGCGGTCTTAAAGAAGTTCTCAGTTATGTTTCAGTTCAACATCAACTTAGTTAGACTATTTGCTGACATATTATAATATACTGAACAAACATCTTAATTTACTCTCCGTTTTATCTCATTGCTGCATAGGAGTAAACAAGCATACATAAAAGTCATTCATTACTAGAGGCGGCAAATATGGACCAGCAAGCAACTAGAGATGACAGACCATTAATGAGCTGATTTAGTCATGAGCGTGTGTGTAAATGTCAGTGTTTCAGCACAGTGCTCTGATATTCTGAGAGAACAGCTGTTCTGTCCTCCAGCTCACTAAATACAGACATGCTAAGCTCAGGGAATGCTAGCGCACACACAACAACACACTGAGACGCCATGCAGATCACTATAGTACAACACACATTATTATAATGTGCATCACTGCAGGAATATATTTCTCACTTTAAGAGAAGCTGGTTTATTTCCTGAACGTGTCTCTCAGACCGTTTGAAATCATCATCCTCCTCACCATCTTTGCAAACTGTGTAGCTCTGGCCGTGTTCATGCCAATGCCTGAGGAAGATACGAATAACACCAACAGCAACCTAGTGAGTCTCTCTCTCACACTCGAACACACAAGACTCCATCTTAATACACCTACGACAACCTATAGAATGCACCCTCACACACACCCTCAATATATAAACCCCTCCCCAATACCTGAAGACTCCACCTTAAGACACCTGAGACGACCTATAAACCCCGCCCTCATACACTCCCTCAACATATAAACCCCTCCCCAATACCTGAAGACTCCACCTTAAGACACCTGAGACGACCTATAGACCCCGCTCTCATACACTCCCTCAACATATAAACCCCTCCCCAATGCCTGAAGACTCCACCTTAAGACACCTGAGACGACCTATAGACCCGCCCTCATACACTCCTCAACATATAAACCCCTCCCCAATGCCTGAAGACTCCACCTTAAGACACCTGAGACAACCTATAGACCCCGCCCTCATACACTCCCTCAACATATAAACCCCTCCCCAATGCCTGAAGACTCCACCTTAAGACACCTGAGACAACCTATAGACCCCGCCCTCATACACTCCTCAACATATAAACCCCTCCCCAATGCCTGAAGACTCCACCTTAAGACACCTGAGACAACCTATAGACCCCGCCCTCATACACACCCTCTATATATAAACCCCTCCCCAATACCTGAAGACTCCACCTTAAGACACCTGAGACAACCTATAGACCCCGCCCTCATACACTCCCTCAACATATAAACCCCTCCCCAATGCCTGAAGACTCCACCTTAAGACACCTGAGACAACCTATAGACCCCGCCCTCATACACTCCCTCAACATATAAACCCCTCCCCAATGCCTGAAGACTCCACCTTAAGACACCTAAGACAACCTATAGACCCCGCCCTCATACACTCCTCAACATATAAACCC